TCAAGAGGTACAGAAACACTCCTAGTACCTGGAAGAGTGCCTGCTGTAAAGAAGGCATTCAGAAGTTATATATTTAACCAATCAATCTACTCATGGCATCATCTTGATACTGAAGCAGACTTTTCCTTACAGTTCACTCAGTTCTTTGTAATGCAGAGACTATATAACTAGCCTACCAAAAGTAAAGATTGTGTTTATTTTAGTTTTTTTTTTTTTTTTTTTAATCACGTCAGCACTTTTTTGGACTAGCATATCTCCTATCAGCACTCTTAGCACATGGATGCTTAATTTCATGGCCTCACCCAAAATTCTGGACTGGGTCTGTCATTTAAGACAGACCTAGTGACTAGATTTAGGAGTTGTGCGTCCAGACACCTGCACTGACAATGAACACGCTGAGACGGCAGGGCGGGGTGGGGATGAGCTCCCGACTCCACCCCGCAGGGCGGAGTTATCCCTAGCCCTCACCCAACCAATCAGGATTAGCCGAGGCAGTGACATCACCATCGACCTGAGTAAAACCCCTGGAATGGAAGAAGCTCGCTCTCTTCCGCCATGCTGCCGGCATGAGTGGGGGGGCCCATGCTAGCATGGTACAGGCTCTTTTGTTTATTGCATCGGACTCGGCTCCCTGGTGGTCCTTGGGGATCACGAAGTCTGGGCGTAACATATGGGGGAATTCGTCCGGGATCCCTAGGGCCATGAGGAACCCGATCCGGAGAGTCTGACTGGCCGCGGTAGGTGTGTGCGCGCTCTGGAGGGACATAAAACCCCTCATGGAATTGGTGCCCGAAAACGCCTGGTGGACGCACCATAAAGGCCACGGGCAGGAGGATCAGAAGACGTTCTGACCTCCCTGGAGGGCCCTAGAGGGACCCTCATGGGGAGAGGAATGAATCCTCTCCAGGACGAGGTGAGCGGCGTGAGCCGTTGCCTCACCTGCGGAAAGTGAGCCTTTCCCAGGTCTGAGTTTGGTATCTGCGGGCGACATGGCGCCCCAGGATGGAGCCGGCGAAGTGTGGCCGGCGTGGCGGTGCGGGGCCCCCTGGCGGCGTTGGGCCGGAGGGGGGGCTCCCGCGTGGCTCAGTCTGTGCGGTGGAGCGCGGCTGGGCAGTGGTGGCCTGGCTCGGGGAGCAGGCACCTGGGTTAATTTGCTGGCTGCCTGGAGAAGGGGAGGTGGAGCCGGGAAGCCGCTGGGGCGACCCGCGCTTTCTCCTTGGGGGCTGCCTGAGTAGCGTGGCTGGGATGGCCAAAGCAGCCTCGCTCTGGGGGCCTGGGCCCTGGGGGCCTGGGCTGGCGTGGAGGCCTCGGGTCTGTGGCAACATCCTATGGAAGAAGAGCTCAAAGGCAAATCTCTGTGCTCAGTAAAGAAAAAAGGCCAGTTCAAAACGAGTGCGCATAGTTTTGGGCTGTGCTTAAAAACACTTTTCTGGGTACAGAATAAGTTTTAAAAATGGTGGAGATAACTGGAAGATAAATTGAAACTGGTTTCCCAAGTCATTGTACCAGCTTTTGCAATTCCCCACCTTGAGGCGGAACCTAGATGGTAATGGCCATGGCCGGGAGTCTTTAGCTAAAGAATGTGTTCATTTGCATTTGAATTCCAGTGATCTGCAGGGTGGAGCAAATGATAAAGGTGAAGCTGCCTAGATGACCTTGCATACAATGTTTAGCTTCCTTGTCATTGGTATCAGCTAAGCAGGATATATTAGAAATGTAATATTATTAATCTAAAAAAATGCCAAATATATTTGACTTGCCAGCTTTAAAAGTCCAAAGTATAAATTGAATTAAGAAAAGTTAATTGCAGTAACTAGATGCCTAAAATATGACAGGCTAAACTGTATTATGTGTTAAAAATAAGCAGTAATGATCAAATATCTCAAGGATTGATTTATTTTCATTTGTCAGATGAAAAAGTATGTAATGCTTAAACTTAAAAAAATTGTTTTAAGTCAATGATGCAGTATTTTTTAAGTCAGTTTTTCTGAAGTCATGTTTAATGTAACATATGAAACTTTTTTATTTGATCTGTTTTGTTTTGCTTTGCATTGTAAGTTTGAATTTGGGATGTACCTGCATCTTGTATTTTGTTTAAACTTCGAGAATCATTTTTGGTTTCAGTCATGTGTGTAGTTTTAAGTAGACTTCATCACAAAGGTTTATAATTTATTTAGAATTGTGTTAAAACAATTATTTGTATGATTTAACCCCCTGCGACTGCTTGGACAATTTTCACCGATGTTCTGCGGGAGGGGGAGTAGAAAAGACTTAGAAATGCAAATAGATCTATATCTGTAGGAAAAATGTGGCATTTTAAATTTCAAACGGCTGGAGGCCTGGGAACAGAGTACTGGACCTGCTCCCTCCTCCCTTGCCTTTAAAATTTGAGGCATAGTTATATAGAAAAAAAATTTAAAAGTTAAATTGAAATTAAAAGGCCAGCAACTAATAGAAAGGAATTAATATATTTATTATAAAAAGCAAGGAGCATCCTTGGACATCGAAGAAGGACTATGGACCTCAGAAGAAACATGTACAGAAGGAACGCAGCTGCTGAACTGGACAATGGACCTTTGAGGAACTAAAGGAGGCGCTCATCTCAGCAGCTGCCCTAGCCTTTCCAGACGTCATGAAGCCTTTCCACCTCTACATGAGTGAGGTAAGAGGCTTTGCCAAAGAGGTTCTCACTCAGACTCTAGGTCCCTGGAAGAGACCTGTTGCCTATCTGTCTGAGAGACTGGACCCTGTGGCAGCGGGGTGGCCAGCATGCTTCCAGGCAGTGGCCACCACAGCATTGCTAGTGAAGGAGGCAGATAAGTGGACTCTGGACCAGGAACTAACCTAGATGGGTCAGGCTTTTCTCCTGGACCAGCCCTGTGTCCGGATTCATAAGACTCTGGCCATCAACCCTGCCAGCCTGCTTCCAGATAATAATGGAGGAACCCATTCATGACTGCACAGAGGTAACAGACGACAAGGTACTGTTCACGGATGGGAGCAGTTATGTTCAGAATAGGACCTGATATGCAGGGGCAGTGGTAGTCACTCTGGACCACACCATTTGGGCACAGTTCCAGAACTTTTGGCCTTAATCCGGGCCCTTTGATAAAGACACTGTGCCATCCACAGAGAAAAGAGGGTTACCAACTGCAGCCGGAAGGAATCGGCTGAACAGAAGCAAGCCACTGAAGGACCAGATGGTTGATGGACCCTCCAGATGACAAGACTATTGGTCCCAGAGGCTCTAGGTCAAGTTGCCCGGTGACACCAGGTTAAGTGTCACCAAAACTTCTGAACTTCTGTGAGGCAGAGTTGCTAGAAGTATTGTCTGTACACAAATAAATGCTAAGCAAGGTAAGGGGGTCCCCCTGAGAATTCAGGTCCAGAGAACTTCCCCAGGAGAGCATTGATAGGTGGATTTCGAAAATTAAACCACCAGCATTAAGGTCTAATTTTTGTAGACACTTCAGATTAGGTTGAAATATACTCCACTAAGACAGAAACTGTCTCTATAGTAGTCACGAAATTACTCCAGGAGATTATAGATTTGGGCTGCCAGTATCAGATAACAGCCCCACCTTGGTAGCTAAGGTATATATCTCAGAGTATAGCTCTAGCCTTAAGACAGGAAAAGTAAAACTCTAGAAAAAGAGATTTAATTAAATGTGCCCTAGAATCGGTGAAAATTGGACCAACCCCCTGTCCTTTGCCCTCTTGAGGGCCAGGTGTACCTCTTACTAGGACAAGTTTCCCCTTTTTGGGAGGGGATCATGTATGGTAACCATTCCCTTGCTCAAGTCCTTACAGGTTCTGCAGTTTGCTTGTTCCAAATGCACTGCCAATTCCCACCGCAGACCCTGTAGCCCTGGAACTCAATATGGGTGAAGAAATTCGCTGCCCAAGGACTCAAAGGAATGCTGCACTGTTATCCTGAGCATGCCCACTGCTGTTGAAGTAAATGGCATCCAGACCTGACTACATGACTCCCAGTTCCTGCATAACCTGAATCCTGGCAACTACAGGCCAAGAGAAGAACTGATGCCTGCAGGAGAGGAACTGGACTTAGTGAGGACAATACTGATGGGAACTGTGGTACTAAGGGTCTTGGTAACTGTATTTGTTATTTATGCTAAAAGGAAGTAGGCTGAGTCAATGATTTGACTAGGCACATGAGACAAGGGGGGAATGAGACGGCAGGGCGGGGTGGGGATGAGCTCCCGACTCCACCCCGCAGGGCGGAGTTATCCCTAGCCCTCACCCAACCAATCAGGATTAGCCGAGGCAGTGACATCACCATCGACCTGAGTAAAACCCCTGGAATGGAAGAAGCTCGCTCTCTTCCGCCATGCTGCCGGCATGAGTGGGGGGGCCCATGCTAGCATGGTACAGGCTCTTTTGTTTATTGCATCGGACTCGGCTCCCTGATGGTCCTTGGGGATCACGAAGTCTGGGCGTAACACACGCCAGGACGTTATCCTTATGGTTTCCTCCAGATCACCCAAATGAGGGTGAGTGATGAGTCCCTTTACAGAAACCAAAACCTCTTTTCCGTGACCTCTTCCAGGCTGTGCCGGGGTCTCATAAATCCGCTCTCAGTGCAGCCAATTTCCTGCCGGAGTGATCCAGGCGTCAAAGGGCTGGTTCCTACCCAGCGCCGCCGCGCCGGAGCGGCCAGAGTTACAGCGAGAAATACCAGATCGAGGCTCCGCAAAACGCACCCTCCCTACAAAGACGGAGGTCAGACTCGTGAGCTCTACGTTCTCCCCGCTCAAAAGAGAGTCTGGATCCGGGTTTTTGTTTCCCTCCTTTCCTCTCCCGGTGCCTCGGCCGCCGCAACCAATCCACTCCCGTCGGCCCCCGCGGGCCGCTCCCCGTCTCCATGGAAACGACGGCAGCCAATCAGCGCGGCGACTTCCGCTCCGTTCTGACAACAGTGCGGTCGCGGTCTCAGACATCACTGGAGTGGGCTCGGGTGGGCCTGCTGTCGGCGGGCCGGGATGCTGAAGGCCAAGATCCTTTTCGTGGGGCCCTGCGAGGTGAGGCCGGGGCCGGGGGCGGCGAGCGGAGGCGGGGGGCGCCGGGAGCGGGGCCCCCCAAGAAGTGGGAACCCGGTCCCACCGCGCCCACCCTGGTGTGCGCCGCTGGCCTCACCGGAAACTCTGCGTCTCCAGACGCTGACCCTGTGTCACTGCGGCCTGAAGGCCCAAGCTAGTGAGGGGCGTTATGGGACCAGAACCTAGGTCCCACTTTGCATTCCAGGCTGTCCCTAATGGATATGACTGTGGGACGAGATAAAACTAGGAGGAGAGATTGGACTATGACCTGGTCTTGGAACAATTAGCTATTAATATATGTTTGGTGGTGATAGTGGGGATTAAATCTATGTGTGTACTTCACAGTATACACAAAAAGTAAAATTCAAATGGATTAAAGCTAAACGTGTGTGTGGGGGGGAGGGGGGACAGTGTGGGAATAGTAAATAAATGGGAATTTTATTGATGCTGTTGGCCCAGGGACAACACTTGGAAAACACTGTTGTAGATGAATAGATACGTTTTAAATCTTCAGATAGGGAAAGTCTTCTTAAGTACATTCTGTACAACAGACATTCTGTACTTAAGTATTTGCAAAATAAATCCAAAAAAAGAATTACTAGGTAGTTCACAAGGAAAGTAAATAACAGTAAAAAAGAGAGAGAGAACTCAATAGAAAACTGAGCAAAAGCTCTGCACACAAGAAATACAACTGACTAATAAGTGTAAGAAGATGCCCAACTTCTTAGTCACAGGAACACAATTTAAAACAAAAAGAAGACATTCATTTACCGCTCAGATTAGATGAAAAAAGTTTAGAAGATTGATAACACCCAGGGTTCGGATGCCTGCAGGAATATGAATGCTCTAGGATTCTGTTGATGGAGCAATAAATTGATAAAACAGCTTTTTTGATTATAAAATTATTAAAATTTAAAATGTGCCTTTTAGAGCTGCATTTACATTTCTCAGAATCTACAGTAGCTGAATACTTGTCCATGTTCCCCAAGGGTCATGTTCAGTATTGAAAAGCTGGAAACATCCTAGGTGCCATCAGTAAGAGAATGTCTAAATAAACTAAAGCACATTCTTACTCTGGAAGTCTGCAGCAGTTAAACAAAACAAGGCAAGTCTGTGTGTCCTGATGTGGAGAACTCTCCAGGACATAAATTATTAAGTGAAATTGACAAGTAACAACGATATGCAGAGATTTATGAAAAGCAAAACAAGCACAGTTATATTTTAATGGAAATTCTCAAATTTATAAAAGGGAGAAAGAACTATGAACTCCTAGTACCCATCACCCAGCTTCAACAACTGAATATATTTCTGCATATACATTTCTCTTTCCCTTCAAACATCGATATGAGAGAGAAACATCAACTGATTGCCTCCCAGATGCACCCTGAACAGGGATCAAACCACAATCTCGGTTTGTGCCCTAACCAGGAATCAAACCTACCACCTTCTGGTGTTCAGAATGATGCTTCAACCAACTGAGCCACACTTACCAGGGGTCATCTTTTTCTAATTTATTCAACAGCTCCTGATACAAGGTAGACACTGAAAAACACCTTATGGCCTAACAGGCAGTTTCTTCATTTTCCCACAAGAACCCATCCCCATAAACTCATGAAATGCAAGAATGGAATAAAACAGTATTTCTAAGTTAACATATAACTTAATGTACCTTTAAAAATATATATATATAGCTACACTGATATATAAAACATCATAAAAGTATATTTGTATATTTTTTAAATAAGAATGTATTATGGAGAACTGGAAAGAGTCCTACCTGGTAGGGTGGCATGGCCAGCCAGGCCAGCTCTGCCTTGGAACTTCTCAGTGACCTTGAGGGACTCCCTTCCCTTTTCTTGGCCCTTGTGGCTCCATAATGAGCGCTGACAGACGGTGGTTTTTCTTGAAGTTGTGGGGAGGGGAAGTGAGGAGAAGTTCACATTAATGATTTTGCTTCTGTGTTTAAATAAGTTCACTGAAAACCGGCTGGGGAAATCCATGTGGGTAAAGCACCCAGGGGCAGAGCCCCGGGTCCCAGAGCACTGTGCCCACCACGCACAGCAAGTTAGTGAGAGCCCTCTACCCTGGCGGTCCCAGAGTGGCTGTGGCCTACACGCCATCTCACTGGTTCCAAGCCAGCTAATGGAGGGCTCATTTATAATTTGCTGTCCTGATCTTCAGAAAAGGTTTTTTTATCATCTTCATTTTCACAGAGTGGAAAAACCGTTTTGGCCAACTTTCTGACAGAATCTTCTGACATCACGGAATACAACCCAACTCAAGGAGTGAGGTGAGCCCTGAGTTATCTGTGTCCCAGAGAGACCCTGTCCATCACCCACCCTCTACTCAGGGTGCTGGTGGCATTCCAAAAGTATAATATTTCCTAAGTAGAGATGCTGCTGCTGTTTCTGCTTCTAGGATCCTGGAGTTTGAGAATCCACACGTCACCAGCAACAACAAAGGCACAGCGTGTGAATTTGAGCTATGGGATTGTGGCGGCGATCCAAAGTACGTCTCCTTTAAGAGGGTTCAGAAATCACCTGCCAGCCAGGCACCTTGGCCTAGCACACTTCCTAGCATGTACTAGGGGCTTGGTCAGTTGTTTGGTGACATGCATTGCTCTTAACATTTTAGTGATTAGGTTTTAATACAATGAGAAGTCATCTATTAATTGTCAGTAGTAAGGAAGTCATCCATCAATTATCAATAGTAAGATATTATTTTTAAAGTCCATTCTTAGAAACCAGAACTACCTAACATTCACTGTAACCCTTTGCTGCCTTGCAGGTTCGAGTCCTGCTGGCCAGCCCTGATGAAAGACTCTCACGGCGTGGTGATCATCTTCAACGCTGACATCCCTAGCCACCTGAAGGAAATCGAGATGTGGTATTCCTGTTTTGTTCAGCAGCAGTTCTTACAGGACACTCAGTGTCTGTTAATTGCACATCACAAACCAGGTTCTGGAAGTGATAAAGGAAGCCTGTCTTTATGTAAGAAGACTGCAGTTCTCCTTTCTGCTTTTGTCTTCCGTGTATTGGGCATCTGTATATTGCTCTGTGTGTTTGAAAGCAGCAGCTGTGTGTGTTAGTGAGCACCTGGGGCGTCGCCAACACTGGTGGTCCGTGAGGTCCGGACGGTGGGTGACGGCTGTCATAGGCGTTTGTTTTCCTCATCAGGTAAACCAGAATGACCAGATTGGAAGATCTGCCATACCAACCAGGCCAGGATATAGACACTTTAAAAGCAGATAGAGCCCGGCTGGCATAGCTCAGTGGTTGAGCATCAGCCTATGAACCAGGAGGTCACACCTCGATTCCCGGTCAGGGCACCTGCGGGTTGTAGACTCGATCCCCAGTGTGGGGCGTGCAGGAGGCAGCCGATCAATGATTCTATGTCATCATTGATGTTTTTCAATCTCTCTTTCTCCCTCTCCCTTCCTTTCTGAAATCAATAAAAATACATTTTTAAAAAAATAAATAAAAGCAGGTAGTTAACAAGAGCGGAAACACCTGGCTTTAGCCACTCACCTGTCACTTTTTCCTGGCTGGCCTTTTCTCAAGAAAATCTCCAATTTGCATGTGACAGATACCATTGCAGAAGTGACAGTGTGACCATAGAAAATGACTGCCAGTACTCAGCAGTGTCTTCCTTTCTGGTATAAGAACAAAGAGGACCTGGCAGTGGCTTGTAGAGTTGTCGTCTTATTGTCAGTGGCAGTGTGGCGAAACCTTCTTGTGTTAAATTATGTCAAGCAAGACACTTTATTTTTGGACTTGAGAAAGTTAAACAAGTTGGCTTCTGTGAGACTCAGGTCATTTGGAACAAGAAATGGCCCTCAGTAAAAGTTCCTGCCTAATTTACCTTATTTTCTTTTTAAGCACCACCCTTGAACAAGCTGAAGCTGGTGCACTCGAATCTAGAGGATGACCCTGAAGAGATCCGGATGGAATTCATAAAGTATTTAAAAAGCATAATCAACTCAGTGTCTGAGAGCAGAGACCGGGAGGAGATGTCAATTATTACCTAACGAGCCTTCCTTTGGACTCTTCCACATTCCGAGTGAGGTCAGCTTCTTTCCCCATGCAGATCTGCAATCTTACCTGGCCGCTGATACTTCCTCCCGTGGCCCTCTAAGAAATATTCCTCACCTGCCCGAAGGTACCAGGCACCCCATCTGTTCTCTGTCTTAACAGTATCCCCCCAGGAGCAATGCTTTGGTATTTGCTATTCCAGTGTTCGTGGTGACTTTATAGAATATAGTAAGAATCCACTGTATCACCATCTCTTGCGATTTAAAGGTTTTCGGGTTAGCTCAGTCTCTAATAAATATTTAATTTATTCAAGATATTACAATCCACTTCCTCTACATTCTCCCTAATGTGGTATTAGAGTGTCTTGGACAGTGTTTGTGCCCTTGTTGGGGTGGGGAAGCTGCCCTAAGGGCTGGTCCTTGGGTTCCCTCCCTGATCTGTCAAGATGTCAGTGGGCACCCTACTAGCCATCTCCAGCCAACTGCAAGACTTGGTAAGGCTTGTAGCCTGGGACCCATGGAAACAGTCATCCCCTGGCTGAGTTGGCCTCATTCCTGCTGGGGCTGGCCGTGCACATTTCTGAAAGCCACCTGTGTCCTCCATCCATCCCAGCTTCCTTTGTATATGTATGGCATTTCATCTCTTGGCATTGCTGACCTGTCCAATTTATTCTCCATGCTCAGCTTACTGTAAATACAAGCTCAGAAAGAATAAATTATTTTTATCTGATCTTTAATGATTATTCCAGAGCTTAACAGAAAAATTAACCCAACAGCTTTCATTGCTGATAATGTCCAGAATACAATCCTGAATTGAGAAAAAAGTTTATTATTTTTTAGAATGTTTTTATTGATTTTTAGAAAGGCAGGGAGAGAGAAACATCAATATAAGAGAGTAACATCCAGCCAGTGTGGCTCAGTGGTTGAACATCAGCCTAGGAACCAGGAGGTCATGGTTACATTCCCGGTCAGAGCACATGCCAGGTTGCAGGCTCAATCCCCAGTGTGGGGTGTGCAGAAGGCAGCTGATCAATGTTGCTCTCTCATCATTGGTGTTTCTATCTCCCTCCCTCTCCCTTCCTCTCTGAAGCCAATAAATTTTTTTTTAAAGAGAGAAACATCAACATCAATTGGTTGTCTCTGGCACATACCCAACAGGGAATGGAATCCATGACCTGGGCATATGCCCTGACCAGGAATTTAACCAGTGGCCTTTTGGTGCATGGGATGACATATTTCTTGGAACCAATCAAATGACCAAGTAGTATTCTGGAATTCTACCTGTAGTTAAGTCAAGCATGACTTATTCACTTACATTGCAACTTGAATGCTCATATCTCAAAATTGTTCAGGAAAGCTCCTAGAGATAGTTATACTTTCTGGGAACAGCAGAAGACATTAATATCAGCAGGGTAGGTTATGTCAGTAGGATATCTTACATCAGTAGGGTATGCTAAATTGTTATAACAAAGAGTAAAGCTTTGTAGTAACTGAGGACACGAGTTAATACAAAAACAGTATTCCTGATATCTATTGAAAAGATAATTGCGTTTGTACCTTAAGAAAATTATTCTGGCCCTAGCTGGTTTGGCTCAGTGGATAGAGCATTGGCCTGTGGACTGAAGGGTCCCAGGTTTGACTCCATTCAAGAGTGCTTGCCCAGGTTGCAGGCTCAGTGCTCAGTGTGTGTGTGTGTGGGGCGGGGGGGTGGTGCATGCAGAAGGCAGATGATCAATGAGTCTCATCATTGATGATTCTATCTCTCCCTCTCCAAAATAAAAATAAAATAAATAAGTAATTAAAAAATAAAATATTCAACAGAACAATTTTAAAATTATTTTTTTTTTAAAAACAAAATACTCTGCACTGTGGCTCTTCTCAATCTTGACTTCAGCTTCCCTTACTTGATTAATGAGAATTACATATTCTGGCCTTGGCTGATGCTTTCTCAACAAATGTACTCTCTCCTTGAGCAAGAAATGAATGATTTCACATTTTAAACACCAAAACCAAAGAAATTAAATAAATAAAGAGGGAGGAAATTCTGCTTTTGAATGTTAAGAATAGATAACATATTTCTTATATGACTTCATAACTGCTTTATCATTTACATTTTCTACATTTATGATACCGGCCATTCTTCCTACCTAAGTTAAAAGCCAGTGGAAATTGTGTGTCTTCCAAGTATTCCCACTTCAAAGGGAGAGTTTTTAATGCTTTGATGTGTGCACACCTCATCTATCTTTCTGCTCTCTGCAGTTCATTCCTATCTAGGCTTTTTGATAGCTTTAAACGTACGCCCACTCTCCCGTTCACAGCCACAGCGTTGGAGTCCCCAGAAAGAGCAGGATCTCCTCCGGCCTCACACAGCATGATCACCTTTGGCATGGCTTGGTAAAGCCACAAGTAAGCAGCCTGACGGCCAGTCTGACAAAGCCAATGCTGGGCCCCCATCCTGAGTAATTGCCACCAGCCACCAGATTTCCAGAGGCTCTAGGCTCCTTTGAGCTCCTCTCATCACCCTCTTCCTCAGTCCTAACCCCAGCCCATAGACAAGGCAGGCTGCAGCAAACAGAAGCAATTGGGTTCTTTAGTATCAAAATAGCAAAACACCAAAAAGGAAATTGACAGAGCCCTGCTCTTTACTATTTAAGCCACACGTGAGCCTTCCTAACACCCTGTAAACATGTGTCTTGCACCAAGGGAAAATAAACAACAAGCAGTCAGCAAAAAAATAAAATGAGGAAGAGGAGGAGAATGCCTCCCTTCTCTAAAGCCTCAGTATGATTCAACAATTACTGCTCTTTGGACCATAATTATAGATCATAGGCATTTCAAATATTGTGTTAAAAATCACTCATCTATTTTACATTTATAGTCTTACTGGAGTTTTGTAATAAGTACTTTATACAATAACTATCACTTTTAATCTTTTGTGTGACTTTACAAGGCCTAGAAAACACTAGGTGTGAGTTAACCTTATGTAATAAAATATTTTGTTCAGCGGAATGAAGTTCTAATTTTATCAGAGTATGAGGAACTTGGTCTCTACTTATAGAAACCTATTTTGAGTGCTTTTAGAGAATACTTTGCAAATCTAACTACATTTGGAATTTATTACCCTTTTTTGGGTGCAACTGTTAAAGGCAGGTATTTGTGCCCCGAATTTTTCAAAAATAGTGACAATAGCTTTAAAGCATCAATTACATGAGATGAAGAACCATCTAGAGCAGTGATTGTTTAAATTATTACATATAGTAATACATATATCTCCTTTTTTTCCCCATTGATCTTCCCCCAGCCTCCCCTGCTCCCTGTTGCATGCCCTCATCCTACCCCCCTCAGTGTTTTGTGTCCATTGGTTGTGCTTATATGCATGCATACAAATCCTTTGGTTGATCTCTTTCCCCTCTCCCCAACATTCCACAGCCTTCCTGCCGAAATTTGATAGTCTCTTCGGTGCTTTACTTCCTCTGTATCTATCTTTTTGTTCATCAGGTTATAATGTTCTTTATTTTCCATAAATGAGTGAGATCGTGTGGTATTTTTCTGTCAATGCCTGGCTTATTTCACTTAACATAATGCTCTCCAGGTCCATTCATGCTGTAGAGCAGCGATTTTCAATCTTTTTCATCTCATGAGACACATAAATTACTAAAATTATGTGACACACCAAAGTATACTTTTTGCTGATCTGACCAAAAAAAAAAAAAAAAATTGTAGTTTTAATTCATTCACAGTGGATGGCTATTGATGTATTGGCTGTTGTATTTTTCTTTTTTTACAATCTAAGGGAAAAGAGGTCAATGCCTCTGACTAGATAGGTAATGCATGTTTTAAAAATTCTTGCAGCACACCAGTTAAAAAAACGCTGACCTAAAGGATGGTTCTTATGTATAGGAAGACAAACAGGAGACAGTAGTTGAGGTCAAATACACATGCCAACCAAGGCGTGTGAACTTGATTATTTTAGCCAATGAAGAGCCTTAAGCAGAGCAGTGACAGTTACTTTGGTGGCAGAGTGAAGAACAAACTTAAGGGAACAAAACTGAGAGCAGGTTGATCAGGAAATGCAGTGTCTGAAATACAGCACGGGGTGTTGGCATGAAGAGAAAGGCACGGATTCCGTAAATGTCAGGAAGGTAAAACTTGTTAAGGTGGACAAAAGGGTTTTATCCCCTTTGCTCAGCAAACCTGGCTTATCGCAGGTGCATTTTCCTGTTACTCCCTTGGCAACAGATTCTAGTAATATCCTGGTAAAGAGGTTACCCCTCGTGATTAATACAGACCTGGGCGTTAGACGGACTGTGCTAGTCAAAGAATTTCACCTGTATCGTAGCAGTGACTTTGCGCTGCCGCTCAGGACAGAATGCGGGCCTGGTGCAAAGCCATAGTCAGACGTGTCAGTTACCTGCAAATAAATACTCAGGCCTAAGTGAGCACAATGGATTTAGTTTGGATATTGTGAAAACCACAAGGATTTCTTTCCTAAAGGGAAATAGAAATAAAATTGTGGTATTTTAAAAGAGAATTCCGCAATATATTTCAAAGTTCAGCTGTAAGTCTCCATAATGGTATTACAATGTGACAGTTAATCAGTGACTACATTTCCCATGGTCCTTAAGGCAACGCCGCCCGCATTACCCAGAGGCCTGTGCGATGTTCGTGCGAACCGAGGGCGTCCGTGGAAACAAGGTAAACAGAAGGGGTTGTGCTCTTTAACGTTGCTTTACAGCCGAACTTCCCATTCTCCTTCCCTACTTCATCCCTCTTCTCTGTCTTCGCCCCTCCGTTCAAGGGCTTCAGAAGCCCAAATACCCGGGGATTTGTCTCTGTGGCAATTCCAAGTTACCTTTTTTTTTTTTTTTTTTTTGCCGCACGACCGGAAGTGTGCTGTGTCCGGAGTCTCCTGGAAATGTAGTCCGGAGCCCCCGCCCAGCCGAGTGTTTCTTTGTGGGGGAAGAGAATAGGAAGGGGGGTACTTCCTGCGCACGGTCACCTGCTGGCCCAGGACTCGGAGCCGCGAGCCCGCGGCTAACGGCCCTCCGCAGGGGACTCCGGGGATAGCGGTTGGGCGGGGGCGGGCCCGCGCCCCGGAGGTCCGAGCCGCTACCGTTACCGCTCGCCTCCGCGGTCAGAGCGGACCGCAGCCTCCGCGCCCAGCGGGTGGTGAGATTTCCCGGCCTTTGGGGCAGGCTCCGCTGCCGTTACCTGGGCTTCCGAGCACCTAGGCAGGTGGACGGCCTCCCGGAGAGGCGGAGTGTCGTTCGTGCGCTGGCCCCGCTCGGATGGGTCCAGGGGAGAGTTCCGGGGAATATGCTCGGCGTGGATCACAGGGATGAGAGGGGGTCCAGGTGGGTCAGAGAGGGGCCGTTAGTAGAGAGCATCCAGCCCCAATCCCCCTCTGCTACACGGCGGCACTAGGCCCAGAGAGAGGGAGGAATTGCCCAGACGGAGAGTCAGGCCCCGGCTGCCCGCTCGCGCCTGTATTTCCAGCACAAAGCACTGTGTGGATCACAGAACAGGCGCTCGAGCATTTAAGTGTCTTTTTGTTCTAAGAACAAACAACTGAAATAGTTCAAGTTTCAAGACAAAAGTAATTTAAGGAGAAGTGGACCTGTAGACTAAGCGACTAATCAACCAAATGCAATGTGTAGACCTTATTTGGATCATGGTTCTAACAACCATAAAATTGTGAATTTTTTAAAAATGAGAAAAATGTGAACATTGATGATATTAAGGATTTGTTTTAAATTTTTAGTTGGGATAATGCTATGGGTTTGCACTTTAAAAAGGAAAGTAGTTTTAGGAACACATACTGAAGACTATATGGTTTTGATGTTTTGAAATTTGCTTAAAAAATACTCGGGAGGAAGGAGATTAGTCAGGTGTCAATAATTATTGGAGGTGGAAATAGGTACAGGGAGATCACTAAACTATTCTCTCTACTATCATACATTTTTTTTTAAAAGTTCAAGTGTAGCCCTGGCTGGTTTGACTCAGTGGATAGAGCCTCAGTCCTCTCACTAAAGGGTCCCAGGTTCTGTTCTGGTCAAGGGCACTACCTCCCTTGCAGACTTTTTCCCTGGCCCTTGCTCAGGGCACGTGCAGGAGACAATCAGTAGATATCTTTCTCTGCCTCTGCCTCTCCCTCTCCCTTGCACTCTTTCTTAAAAAAAAAAAAAAAAAAAAAAAAAAAAAAAAAAAAAAAAAAAAAAAATCAATGGAAAAATATCCTCAGGTGAGAACCAAAAAAAATTTTTTTCAAGTGTAATTAACTCCTAGAGCTACATTCTGAGTTATCTATCAAAAATAGATATACTTTGTATACTGTGTGGAATTTGCTTTAAAGTGCTACACACACAGGAAGTGTGATGGGGCGTGGAAGAAACAAGAATGGCAGGAAATAAGGGGCCTTGAGCTATGGAAACTGTGTGATGGATATGTGAAAGTTCATTGTATTATTGTATCCTCTTTAATGGGACTCAAATTTTCTATAATCAGGTTTTTATTTTTTTTGATGGATTTTATGGTTTTCAGAAAGTGCCTAAACATAAAAAAGCTCATGAGAAGTTTACCTGAAACTTAATCTTCCCCTGCACAAGTGAGCCTCATTGGGGACTTCTCCAGTTAAGAATGATCAAGCATTAAGGGGGAAAGGGAGCTGTGTCCTTGGTTACCCAGAACCCTCAAAAATAGGGCAGAATTCTGACGATGAAGGTAGAAGCAGAGGAACTCTTGAGGGGAGTAGGGAAGAGACCTTGCTACAAGGAATTTTGCAGCCTGAACTGGCCTGTCCACACTTCAGACAGTTCTAAGACTGGGAGGTTTGGGATCCTCGGAGGTTCTGCCATGTCCCCAGAAACTGCTGCCGGTGGCTAAGACCTGGGGTGCACTCGAAGGAACGGAACCTGAAGCTGCTGGTGCTGGAGCACTTCCTGGCCATTCTGTCCTGGGAGCTATAGTGCTGGGACTGGACCAGCACTGGGCATTGGAGGGAGATGGAGCTCATACTGGAGAGAGAGAACTTACTGAGCCAGTCCAGCAGTCAGGAGAAGAGAGAGTGGATGTATGAGAATAGGGAGGGGACTGTCCTCCAAAGAAAGACCAAGTCTATGTTGACCCAGCGCTGTCTCTCTTATTTATCTTAGCTCTTGCCTTTTTACCTGTGGGACATAAATTAGGTCTTGGATGACTTCCTAGAAGTTTTGGGTTGTTTTATTTTGTTTCCTGTCACATCCCCTGGAGAAAAGATCAAGGTGTTTGTTTCTCTTTCCTGGGCCCGCCTGTGTTGAAAAGCAGGACAGAACATCACGGCTTCAGGTCTGTGCTGAGAGCTGAGTGTGATCATCACACAAGTATGAGGCCTTAAGTCCAGAACTCAGAGCTACTGAGGTCACTGGAGGACAGCAAAGGGAACGGAAAGCCTCGTCTTGGTCACTCACAGGTGCCCCAACCACAGCTGTGTCCTTCATTCCTGCAGAGTCACACAGGGTCAGTATTGGGCTGTTTTGAATTCTGGTGTGATTGCTTTTTAGCCAAGTCACACTCAATGGTGTAGCTCACGGAGAACTTTATTGACATTAACTTTATCTTTTCTTCTTCCCTACTTGTAGCCTGTTTCAATTTGAAGGGGACCTAGGCGATCAAGCCACCCAGTGGGGTGATTGGAGGGGGCTCTGCTTCAGGGAAAGCAAGGGGTTTGGGAATCAAGAGAATTGACCTGATGAGGCATCACCTCGCCCGAGGGGAGCTGGCAGGGTGGAGGCGCTGCGCACACCCCTGTGTCCTCCTTCGGAGAGGGGTCAGTGCCTCACTGTTCTGTTTGCTCTAAGTTCTCAGAACTTAGCACGCCTTTGTAGCAGGACAATGCACGCTCATTGCAAAGCCACGAAACACCACTAGGAGGCTGCTGCTTTAGATCGGTAGTGTCCACAGATCTTGGCATAAGCACAAGGAACCAAGAGTTGACTTCACGAGGTCAGAAAGCTGCCCGGGTCCTAGGATCAGGAGGCGGGAGCGGAGGTCAGGGAAGCAATCCTGAGTCATGTCTCAGCAACCGGTTCGAGGGGTGACCAGCCTGCGTTTCAACCAAGACCAAAGCTGCTTTAGCTGTGCCATGGAGACAGGCGTCCGCATCTACAACGTGGAGCCGTTGATGGAGAAGGGACACCTGGACCACGAGCAGGTGGGCAGCTTGGGCCTGGTGGAGATGCTGAACCGCTCCAACCTGCTGGCCCTGGTGGGCGGTGGTAGCAGTCCCAAGTTCTCCGAGATGTCAGTGCTGGTCTGGGATGATGCCCGGGAGGGCAAGGACTCCACGGATAAGCTGGTGCTGGAGTTCGCCTTCCCCAAGGCAGTGCTGGCCGTGCGCATGCGACACGACAAAATTGTGGTGGTGCTGAGGAACCGCATCTACGTGTACTCCTTCCCTGGCAGTCCCCGGAAGCTGTTTGAGTTCGACACCCGGGACAACCCGGAGGGGCTCTGCGACCTCTGCCCCAGCCTGGAGAGACAGCTGCTGGTGTTCCCAGGACACAAGCGCGGGAGTCTGCAGCTCGTGGACCTGGCGAGCGCAAAGCCAGGCACTTCGTCCGCGCCGTTTACTATCAACGCCCATCAGAGCGACGTGGCCTGTGTGTCCCTGAACCAGCCGGGCTCCATGGTGGCCTCGGCCTCCCAGAGGGGCACCCTTATCCGCCTCACTGACACGCAGTCCAAGGAGAAACTGGTGGAACTGCGCCGAGGCACCGGCCCTGCCACCCTCTACTGCATCAGCTTCAGCCACGACTCCTCCTTCCTGTGCGCCTCCAGTGACAAGGGCACGGTCCACATCTTTGCCCTCAAGGATCCCCGCCTCAACCGCCGCTCGGCGCTCGCTCGGGTGGGCAGAGTCGGGCCTATGATTGGACAGTACGTGGACTCTCAGTGGAGCCTGGCGAGTTTCACAGTGCCCGCTGAGTCAGCCTGCATCTGCGCCTTCGGTCGCAACACTTCTAAGAATGTCAACTCTGTCATTGCCATCTGTGTAGATGGGACTTTTCACAAATATGTCTTCACTCCTGATGGCAACTGCAACAGAGAGGCTTTCGACGTGTACCTTGACATCTGTGATGATGATGACTTTTAAGGACCCCGTGGGTTGTGCTAGGGACCTGCAGTGGCAAAACGCAAAGCATTTATGGGAGTGGGCGTGCTGAAAGCCACCAGCCAGCAGGCACTCATGGGGCAGGTGCACACTTTCCCCTCCTCAGAGCAATGCCCAAACGGCTCATTTCTCCCAAGCACTGCTTGACTGTGTCCTTGAGGACTGTGTGCCCACAGGGCTGGGCCAGAGACCCAGCGGGGCAGCACATGCCCTGGGGCTCCCAGCCTGGAGAAGAGGACTAGGTCCCCAGAGGAAGTGTCCTGATCCAACCTGTGGGGGTAAAAATTTTTCCCAGAAAGAGCCAATCAATGATATGATGAATTTGAATAAAAATTAATAGTTTTAAAAAAAAAGTTGACTTCACAAATTTGTAGGTGCCCATGGACTCCTACCTCAGGGAGAACATCAGTCTCTTCCTGTTCTGTGTCCTTATTTCAGCTTCCCCCACTGAAATAAGCAACACGTTGGACAGCTTCTGGAGCCTCTGTCTCCTGTCTCTGTTGGATCTCTGGGACTCAAAACTAGGGGAGGCCAGAGGCAGGGATGACACTTACCTGGTGCCCACCAGAACAGATGGATGGGTTGTTAAAGTACTGAAATGCTTCTGGACTAGTTGTTAATCAGGTTTCTGCCGTGTCCCCTAATAGCCACCTTGGCCACCCCCGTTACTCCCCTCCTACTACCTGTCCCTCCCCCAACCCTCAGGACCTCTCTGAGGTCCAGCATCTAATGCTTCTCACTGGGTCCTATAGGAGGATCCAGGCCCCTGCCTCTGGATCTGCACATGAGACCAGCATCTGTTCTAATCAGTGTTCGATGTAATGCTTCCCTTGGCCTCATGCCCTTATTCACCGTCACTGCCCATGGTCATGAAGGAAAGCTGAGTATCGTAGCTCAGCAAAACGAACACTGGAACCAGCTGGATTTAGGTCCTGGCTCCACTGTGTACTGTGTGACCTTGGGCAAGTCCTTTAACTTCTCCGAACCTCTGTTTCCTCATCTGCGAGCATCAAAGTAATAGAGGAGAAAGCAAATGAGAAGTGTAACCTACAAAGTGCTTACGTATAAAATTATTTTTAAATTATTGTTTAAGATGTGTGTGAGTTCTTTATCCAACACAGGACCACACCTTCAATCCTGCTTTCTTCCTCTGCCTGGGCCCCTTCCTTTTTACCTCTTTTGGAGTTTACCTCAAGCCTCCATCCTCTGCCACCCCCAAGGGATACCCAGGACTTCACTCTGAAGGTCATTAACCTTGGCACCTTGGAGCAACTTTCTTAGCTACCTTCCTCAGCAACACCCTCTCCTGTGTGGCCGGGAGAGTTCAACTTACTCTTCCAGACTTCTCAGATTTCCCCTCCTGTCACACCACCACCATTTTTTCTCCTGCTTCTTCCTCATCCACATGTTCATTATAGGAAATACAAATATGGCTAAAAAGTAATACATGTTCATTATAGGAAATACAAATATGGCTAAAAAGAAAATGAAAGTAGCCCAGCCGGTGTGGTTCAGTAAAACAGGAGGTCATGGTTCAATTCCTGGTCAGGGCATATGCCTGGCTTTTGGACTCGATCCACAGGGCATGCAGGAGGCTGCCAATCAATGATTCTCTCTCATCATTGATGTTTCTATCTCTCTCCCCCCTCCCTTTCTCTTTGAAATCAATAAAAATATATTTTTTAAAAATAAACTAAAAGCAACTTATAATCTTACTACATGCATAGTATTTATACCTTTTTTAAAAATGTAGGATCATTTATTATTTTACAACCTCATTTTTATTGCTATATCACATGCCATTATTTATGTAATCGATCCCCTATGATGGGCATGGATTTTATTTCAATAGCTTTTTACTTTGCTCTGTGTATCATTTCAGTTGGTGACCTCAGGACTGAGGGCAAGGAGTTCAGCTCAGACCAGGAACTTGATGGAAGAAGTTCCCGCCAGTAGCTCTTGCAGATTCAGTGAAATTTTGCAGGCATACAAAATGGAATACAGCTCAGAATGTTCCAGTACATTAGACCAGCATCAGGGAACCTTCCAGAGAGCAGGTCAAGCACTTCCCCACTCATGAGAAGAGTTTGAAGAGTTTCAAGCAGGAGAAACACAATCTGAAGGGGACGAGAGTGACCAAACCTGCAGGCCAGGTGAGCCCCTTGTTCAAAATCAGAAAAGCTGTCCAGGCAAAGGCCCCAAAGATGCAGCACATGCGGCAGGCCCGGCCCTGGTTCAGCATGAGAGCCACACAGGCTAGACCCCTCCAGTGTAGAACAGACTTCCAGATCTCCCAGAACCGCTGTCAGACCCACCGGTGAGACTAGGTCAGGAAGGTGTTGCTTTCATGAGTGAAAGGTAAACACATGAGAGAAAGGGACCACCAAGACCATGGGCAGGAGAGGCTGGGGTGGGATCTGAAAGGGAAGGAAGGACATGGCTCAAGAGAGTGGGTAAGGCATCCTTCAGGAAGTCTGGTCCCCCGAAACAGACCCTCTCTTTGTGGCTTTGTAACCAACCAGGTTTGTGACGTGATACCTTTCCTCTCTTTATTTTTTTTTTTTTTTAACAAAGGTAATCCATGTCTATAACAGAAACTTTAAAAATATGGATGAAAAAAAATGTACGTGTACACACACACACACGTACACATACACTGAATGGCCAGATGTGTGTGTTTGTGTGTGTGTATATTCACATTTCTAAAAAAAAAAAAAAATGGGAACCCCCTGGTCCCACAGCTACTTGCAGCCCCAACTTCCTTTCTCACCTGGCTTTCACAGGGAGAACCAAGGTTCCTGCAGGTCCGTTTGTGAACACAACAGCAATACTTCTTTTGGCCACAAGAGGGGGGTGTTTGCTCATGCACAACTATCCCAAAATTTCTGGGGAACCATGAACTCTCCTTCAGCTCGTATTGAGGCCACCTATAGTAATTCTGTTCACTGCATCTCTTGGGAACCTTGGTTCATGAGGAAAAAAAGACAGAACTCACATTCTCACTCTATAACCACATCTGCACCAATTTAACGGATCCTTGAACAGCTCTCTCCTCACTTGCAGCCTTGGGCTTCTGAATGAGGTGATAAACTACAAACCTGATGAGGTCATCTTCCAAACCCAACATTTTTCACGGTCCTCATTGTTCTTAGGGCCCAGTCTAAGGGCCATTGTTGACTGGGTCCCTCTCCTCACTCCACCCCCTATTCTGTTGCTCCTCACAAACACGGCACTGGCCGTCCTCCAGCCCCTTTCACTCTGCTCCGTCCCTAGCACACCTCCTAGCGTGTTTCTCTCCGGAAGGTGCTTCTCAGCACACACCCGGCCGGAACTTATTCTTCCAGGTCTTAGTGACATCTTCCTCTCAGAAGTAACTCTTAGCCTGTGAATCTGGGGTATGTGATTCTCCCCTGTGCTTAGCATGTGGAACAAAACAGCTCTCCAAGTGCCTAACAGGCCCACCCGTGTGGCCAGGTCAGCAGGCTGTTACTGTGATGAAAAAGATGAGCACCTGAGAGAAAGGCAGAAGGGCAGGGCCTGCCAAGGCCATGGGCAGGAGAGGCTGTCCATAGCATAGCATGCTAGATGGCTGCCTCTGAGAACGGAAGTTCTATGAGGGCAAGGACCATGCCAGGCTTATTCACTCACATGCCAGCACCGGAGCACAGTGCCTGGCACTCCATAGGGCTCAACAAATATATAGGAAATGGATGGAGGAGTGAATGAGTGTGCCTTTCCCAATTCCTTGAAGTAGGGTCTTCAAGCCAGCCCAACCCTAGCTAGTTTGGCTCAGTGAATAGAGCATCGGTTTATACACCAAAGGGTCCTGGATTCAATTCCGGTCAAGGGCACGTACCATGGTTGAAGGCTCCTCCCAGGCCTGGGCCCTGGTTGAGCATGTGCAGGAGGCAACCAATCACTGTGTTTCTCTGACATTGATCTCTCTGCTTTCCCTTTCTCTTCCACTCTCTCTCAAAATCTATGGAAAAACATCCTCAGGCAAAGATTAAAATAAATAAGACGTTAAAAAAAAAAAAAAAGCCAGCCTGCTTCTCTCTTTCCATTCCCTCTCCCTCCTAGTTCACCACAGGCCTCTTATTGGCCCCGGAGTCTCTGGAAACATCCCAGAGAACAGTGGTGCTGAAGGACCAGTTCTCTCCCTGGTGATTGTTGGGAGACAGTGGGGTTTGGAGTGAACCGATCTAGCTTCAAGGAAAGCTCTGCCACTTACTGGCTGTGCGTGTGCCTTACCTTATTTACAAAGGGAGGTTATGGGTGCCAGGCTTGCAGGATTGCTCTGAGAAATCATATTTAGGCCTGACACATGGCAGACAGATCAGAGTTCCTTCTCCTTCCCTCCCCAATGCTCTCTTCTAAGCCCCCTCCAACCTGAAACCTTGGGACACAGACACTCAAAGGTGCTACTATTTTCCTGATTCCCCTCTCTTTTTCCCTGAAGTTGCCATGCCATTTGCTGCTGAGACCTCCTTCCCTGTCCTTGTTCTTTGGCATAGATAATAGTGCCAGGTGGAGATCAGAGCAGGTACTTAAAAAGTACTTGTAGAATGAACGAATAAATGAATGGGCCAGCCAGTCACAGCGGCATTCCCCTCGGGCATGCTTGCCAGTGGTCAGAACCTAAGGGTAGTCACCAGCCTGTTGCTGGGCACGTGGTCTCGGCCCACCTGACACCACCAGTAAGAGATTACGCACATGTGCAGACCCAAGGCCAAGACTTTGCTGAAGAAAGGGAAGAAAGAGGCATGGTAGCCCCATGGAAAGGAAACTGCTAAGAATTACAGAGCCCAGCTTCTCTCCTGCACAGAGTAGTTCCCCCGCGTGTGGAACCCACGGGTTACATGTGCACCTCTGTGTCATCCTCGGGATGTCTGCTTTCCCTGTAGCCAAAGTCTCTCTGTCATGTCTGGTACTAAAAGTACAAGTTCCAATAAAATCGTGTTCTTGATTTGCCCTTGCATCGT